ATTTTGCCACACTTGCTTCATCATTTCCTTTTTATTCTCTGTTCTGCTTTTCCTCAAATATTTTAAAGCAAATCTCATTCATCGCGTCATTCATTCAGCACCTGCCCTTAAAACACAAGAGGTATTTTCCCACATAACCACAAAGCCATTAGTTCACCTAAGAAAGGCATTTATTGGTAAAAAAAATTCCTAGGTATCCTCAGTCCTTACTCACATGCTCAGATTGTCTCAAAAATGCGCCTTTATGGTACTTGGTTTGACTCAGTTTCCAAATAAGATCCCAGCTCTGTGTTTGGAAAGCCTGTTTTTTAAGTTTCAGCCTGCTCTATTCATAAGAGGTACAATTTTAGGCAAGTGGCCTGACTTCTTCTGGTCTCCCCAGCTATAAACTGGGGAACCAAATCACATCCACCTTAATGGGTTTTGTGAGAATTAAATGATGTCATTATTCATTCATTCAACAAATAGTTATTGAGTGGCTGCCACTTGTCTAGAACTATTCCAAGTGGTGGAAAAATATCAGTGAATAAAACCACATACCTGGCTTCCTGGAGCTTAGAGTCTAGAGGGGGAGATTAGACAATCCACACATACAATAAATATGCCGTAAGACTGTCAGCTGGTGATTAGTGCCCGGGAGAAAAACAAAAGCAGAGAAACAGGATGGAAGGTGGTGGGGTGGCCATTATGGACAGAGTGGTCCGAGAAGTCCTTGCAGAGCCCATGGCTACCAGAGACCTGGGTGAGCCAGGGGAGAGTGAATTCCAGCCTTCCAGAGGGGAAGGCACACACTGAGCCAGGCACGAGCCTGCTGGCATCTCCATGCTCACGCGCTCAAACTTCTTGTCCTCGGATCTCTACATTCTTCAGAGTTATTGCTGACCCCAGAAAGCTTTTGTTTTGTGAGGTATGTCTATTGTTGTTTACCATTTAGAAATGAAAAGAGACATTGAAAAATATGTACAATAATTTATTAATCATAAACTCATTCCATGTCAACCTAAAGAAACCTTAATGAAAAATATCTGTTTTCCAGAACAAAACATTTCGGTGAGAAGAGTGATGTTATTTCATATTTTTAAAAGTCTCTTTGGTGTCTGGCTGAATAGGAAACTGGCTGGATTCTCATTATCTGCCTACTGAATTCAGTCTGTTGCAATATGTTGCTTTGATTAAGTGTATAAAGATAATCCAGCCTCACACAGATAATGTAGTTGGGACAGGAGGGCTGAGTAGTTTCCTAAAAAGCATATTCCTCAAAATGAATGGCCTTTTTTGATAATTGTGGATACTTGTTTTTGTTGCTCTGCCAAAAGCAGACACATTTCTTAAAGAAAAACTGCAGAGTGGAATGTGAAATCTTATCAATGGACTTTTTGTGTTCTATTGGATTAAAATCCATTGGTCTATCTTGTACCTTGAATGGATTTTTTACTCATACATGATTTTGCAACATCCCATGTGGGTCATTTGGAAAAAATTGATTCACCAAGTTATGCAGATCTTCCAAATGTTGAAACATTCCATTATTCATTATTTATTTAAAAAATCACCTATTACTATCACTACCAACCTCACCAGGAAACTCTTTAAGTGTTGGAAAGCTGCCCAGCTCACAACGGTGGATATGAGTTTCTCCAAATTCTAATTTTTTGTTTGAAAGCTTGACTTTTATTGTTGACAATAAATCCTGTCGCATGCACTGAACCCCTTCTGGGCAAACATCACCTTCCTTTCCAAGGAGTCGGGGAATAATATGCTAATTTCCACCATTTATTGAACTCTTGCTGTATGTGAGAACAATTTATGTATGTTTTATTCTATATATTTTATATATGTTGTATTCATTTTTACTACATCTCAGCAAGATATTATTTCTCCCATTTTACAGATGAAGAAACTGAGCTCCAGGGAGGTTAGGTACTTGCTCAAGTTCACACAGCTTGTGGTACTCTTCTATACTATCAGAGTTCCAGAAAAGAATTTTGCAGGTGGGACAGACCTAATTGAAATACTCTGCCCCCTTGGGCCCACGAATTAACTCCTGCTTCTCAGAGCATGTGTCCACTGGTTTTGATGAGGAAATAGGGATCCCCTCTCAAGATGTACTCATTAAGACTTAGCTCAAATATGATCTCCTTGGAGACAACTTACACTCTCACTGGGATATTATCTAAAGGCCCTTACCATTTGTTGAATGGAAGTTAAAAAGTGCTAGGCACCATATTCCATGGGCAAGACACATTACTTCATTTCCTCCTGGTAACATCCTTGCAGAGTAGGTGATATTATCCCTGTGCTAATTTCCTATTGCTGCTGCAACAAATGACCACAAATTTACTGGTTTACAAATGATTATTTTATGGTTCTATAGGTCAGATGATTCATCGGGCTAAAAGCAGGGTTGTAGGGAAGGCTACATTCACCCTGGAGGCTCCGGGGGAAAAAATTGTTTCCTTACCTTTTCTAGCTTCTAGAGACTGCCGGAATTCCTTGGCTCATGGCCTCCCCATCCATCTTCAAAGCCAGAAGCATAGTATCTTGAAATCGACCTCTCTCTCTCTCTCTCATTCCTTCCCTCCCTCCCCCTCTGCTTCTGTTCTCACACCTCCTTGGTTTTTTTTAAATGGCGTAAAGTCCCTCCTTGCCTCTTACACCATTCATTCAATTGCCACACCTCCTAGTCTGAGGATCTCTCTGGCCTCCTCCTTGTGCTGAAATGGGGCCCCCTCAGATAACCCCGAAGAATCTCTTCATCTCAAGTTCCTCAATTTTAATCCCATCTGCAAAGTCCTTTTTGCCATGTTAGGTCACATGTTCACAGATTCCTGGGATGAGGATGTGGACAAAAGATCCATAGAGAACTGAAATAACCTGCTGAAGTCGCACCCCAGTGAGTGGGGGAGTCAGGATTTTCATCCGGGCCTGCCTTGCCTCTGGGTTCCTCCCCTGCCCCCAGACTCATGCAAGTACCAGCGCCTGCTAAGCACTGCAGGGCCACAGCTCTTGTCCGTGTTATCCTTTTAACATTTATCTCCTTGCATTGAAACTGTGTGTTAATAGCTCTGTGAGTGATTCGAGATCTAGAACTGGGTCATATTTACTGTAATTTTCATTCTTTGTTTAAACACCATTGTGATAAAAACCAGACATCAGTCACCATAAGTCACCAATGGGTTTTCATATTCCTTCCAGTCTGTATCCATACCCAGATATTTTTCTGTTGTAACCATAGCACAGATACAATATTATATTGTTTCCCCAGCTTTTTGTTATTAGAATTTTCAAATATACAGGGAAGTTGATAGTACTGCTTAGATCCATCAACTGTTAACATTTTGCCTTATTTCCTTTTCTTGATGTATATTTGTGTGTCTTTGTATGATTTTATTTTTGTTGAACCATTGAAAAATGGCTCACAGGCATTATGACATTCACCACTAATTCTTCAGATGCACACCCCAACAATAAGAACATTCTCTTGCATGATCACAGTATCATTATTACACTGAAAATTATGAATAATTTACTAAAATCGTCTGTATCCAAGCCTTACTCAAATTTATCTGATTGTCAGAACCTATCTACCAACTTAAAAAACAAGCTAGGATCCAATCAAGATTCAAACATTGTATTTGGTTATGTCTTTTTATTTATTAATTTAAATTAAAGTATCATTGATATACAATCTTTTTTTTATTATTAAGGTATCATTGGTATACAATCTTATGAAGGTTTCACATGAGCAACACAGTGGTTACTATATTCACCCATATTATCGAATCCCCCCCGCCACTGCATTACGGTCACTGTCCATCAGCGTAGTAAGATGCTATAGAGTCACTACTTTTCTTCTCTGTGCTATACTGTCCTCCCCGTGACCCCCTACATGATGTGTTAGTCATAATGCTCCTTAATCCCCTTCTGGTTATGTCTTTTTAGCTTTTTATTTTAGAACAATCCCTTCCCCAGCCTCTGTTTCTCATGGCATGCCATTTTTAAAAAAGATCCAGCCCTCTGTCTCATGGAATGTGGCCATCGGTCTTACTGATCTCTGCTGCTTAGGATCTGACAACAGCAGGCTCTCTGCACATGTTAGTGAAACAGGTGAGACCCATGATAACGGTTGTGAGTAATCACAGTAGCTGATTTTTACTGAGGGCTGTTCCCTTGGCCAGAGCATTCATACCTAATTCTGTCCTCACAGAAATCTTAAGAGTTAAGAAATCCTATCCTTTAGTCTCATTCATAGGTGAGTAAATCAAGGCTTAGGGAAGAGAGGTATCTTGCCTGAAATCACTCACTCATCTAGAAAGGGGGTCAACCAGATGGTAAACTTCATACCAGTGACCCAAAAGCTGGTCTGTCTGCATACACGCATGTCTGTGTGTAATAGGTAACACTGAGTGTTTACTGTTTGCCAGGTCCCAGTGCTAAGCGTTTTACGTGTAAATTCGTTTGTTCACCCACCCACCCATCCATCCATCCATCGTTTAGTCGTTTAAATCTTCTGCAGTGCCCAGCAATAGGTGTGGCACAGGGTAGGCGCTCAAAGTTTGCGGAATGAAGAGTAAATGAATGAATGGATGGATGGACATGCGCTCTCCATAAACCAGGGGCTGCTCGGGGATCTTCAGGGCCCACTTCCGCCATCCTGGCCTAGGGAGACCCTGGGGTTCGGCCTGTGCCGACCTCGGACAATCCACCCGCGGACTCCAGATGCCCCGAGTCCCGCCCCGCGCCCAGGGGGCCTCCCAGGAGGTGGAAAGCCGGGTCGGATGGGCACTTTGGCGTTATCCTCTCCACCTCCGACCCTATCCCTGGCGGGTACCGCAGCCCTGCCCCTGGGTCCCCGGCCCGCGCCTGCAGGCCCGCATCTGCCGGCAGGGCGCGGGCTCAGAGTTCACCCAGGGATGGTCCCGCCGCGCACGCCCACCTGTCGGCCGCGCGTGCGCAGCGCGCGCCCGGCGTCCCCGCGCCCCGCGGCGCGCTGCCAGTGCGCAGGCGCGGCGGCCGATGCGAGTGTGTGTGTGCGGGCGAGAAGATGGCGGCGGCGGGGGAGGCAGCGTGAGCAGTCGGGCGAGCGCCGGAGCTCATTGAAACGGGCCGCCATGGCCGACCGCAGCCCGCAGGTAGCCGCCGGCCCGCGCCCCCGGCGGGAAGGAGCCCCGAGCGGCGCGCGGGCGGGCGGGCGCACCCCGGCCCCGAGAGAGCGTGTGGGAGTGGGGGAGGGTGCCGGGACACGCTGCCCGGGACTAGGCCCCGCGCCGCCCGCCGCCGCCGCGCCGCGGCCGCCCGCCCGCGGGGAGCAGCGGGAGGGACTCTGGGGCCGGGCGCAGTGGGCGTGGGGCGCGAAGGGGTGAACCTCTGGGCGTGGAGCGGAGCCCTCGTCGCCCCGGGGCGCAGGGCCACCCAGACCTTAGGTCGCCTCTGCCCGGGGCGAGCCCCCAAGGATTGGGGGTGCCGCGTTTTGCCGTTGGTGCCAGAGGTTGCTTTCTCAGCTTGACTGACCACGGGGGGCTTGCTTGATACGTTGTTTTTAGACCCAGATCACTAAAGGGCAGCCTTAGTTACTGTTGCGGGGAAAACTCGAAATGAGAGTCCAGACCATACTTTAGTTGCATTTAAGTGACATTTTTTTGTATGAATCCATCCCAGCCCGGGTGACGCTAGTGCGCCCTGTCACAGCAGTGTCAAGTTTAGGGGCCTTTTATAATTATCCCGTAGTGGAAAGAAGAAGTAAAACGCACCTTTCGCTTCTAGGGAGACGTGCGCGTTAGAGTTGAGCCGAGCCCTGTCTACTCCCCGACCCCCACCCTCCAAATTACGGTCAACTCTGGGTAAAAACTCGGCATGTGGTATAATTTGTCAAGCTTCCTTTAGACCGCCGATTTGCTGACATTTAATTCTTTACATATTGTTGCACACTTTTATACTGTCTCAGTGTGCTTTGATACTAAATATGGGAAGGTGAGATAAAGTAGCTACTGGAAAAACTGGTAGCCAGTAAATAGTAACCCTTTAGAAGCCATTGGATATTGTTGCCCGTTTGGAAGTAGATTTTAATATTACGCACTGTTGTAATTATGCGTGTGTGGAGTTTACAAAGCGAAAGCCTTTATTTTTATTTTAAGATTTAGATTTTACAGGAAACTGTAATTCTGTTAAATTTTTGGTAGTTTTATGCGCTGGAAGTTTCTGCCTTGTTCACTTGTACATCTGCTTTTTAAGTATTTAGTATAGTTCTTGGCACAAAAAAGGGGGCATAGTAGTTGAATAGTTTTTACAAATGTGTAGTTGCCGTTTTTTTTTTTCCTTAAGAAATTTGGTGTTTGTCTTTTTCTAAACTTAAATGTTAATGTAAATAGCTTATAGTTAAAATTAGTAAGAACAGGTACAAGGTTCATGGTGAACTAATGTGTAATATAATGTCGTTTTCAAATGAAGATGCATATTTAGGTATAATTCACTTCCATTATAAGCACCAATAGCAATGCAAAATTGATTACAATTGGTGATAATATGTAAACATAATATTAATTTCATTTACATTCATTGTTCTAGTATTTGTTTTATACAGTATTGCCTATACACATCTAAAAAATTGAAGTAGCAAAAGTTACCTGAACATAGATGATAGAAACACTCTGGGTTTATTCTTTCAAAGTATGATTTAAATGCTTCTAAATTCTAGCGTGGAGAAGGTAGCAATTTGGTTTCTCATAATTTCCTTTTAAAGAGTAGTATACCAAAGAAAACTATGAAATCATATGTGACAGGATTTAATTATTGTATCCTGCTTGAGTCAGGGTGAGCATTTTAATAAATTTGTTTTGTTCAGTTACCTGCTGTTCTAAGGGCCTCACAGTTTTCATGGCCATTCGTGCAGTAATTCAACAAATACTGATTTGGCACTTACCATGTGCTAAGCATCATAATATGCGTATTATTTATTGCTGGGAATAACAGCTACAAATTAACAGTAAGGGTCCTATTTAATATTCGATTGTTAAGGTTACAGTTTAACATTTTTTATGTAAATTATATCCTATTTCCATATTGTGGATTGAACCCTGTTTTCTGGATGAAGTGAAACAGTGAAAAATGCCAGTAGCTTTCAACATTTTAACAGATACAAATGATGAACTTTGACAGTTGAAGTTAAAGTACAGCTTTACTTCATGAATATTTGTTGTCACGAAGGAACTGATAACATGATTTGGGATAATTACTTTATTGAACCAGTTCTGCTTTAAACCTGAAGAAATGTTTGTCATCATTGAGGTTGTTTGTAGTGAAATGCCCTCGTAATGTCTCAGTGTGCTTTGATACTGAATATGGGCTTTGATACTAAATATCCAATCCACCATGATTGGATACCATATTGCTGCTCCTGCCCTGGTCCTCTGCAGCAGGCTCAACTCACCCCAGTCTTTTCCTTAACCTCACAATAATGGGGCCCCCATATTTTACACAGTGGAATTTCTCAGATCCAATTGTAGCACATGGTAGAATGTTACTTTATCATTGAATATCTGTTTATAACTGACAGCTGTATTAGTAATTCTCAAAAGAGAGACATTTTTATTGGAGTCTCACATAGTGAGCAGTTGAAGTAAATACAATTATTTGAAATACAGGATATTTGGAGATAACCAGTTTCCTTTGCATAGTGACAGCAAAATATTGAAACACGTCCTAAGACTAGATACGCTATTTAAAGTTTGAGTTGATGGTTGCCTCAGTGGTTCTGCAGGTGGACATCCAGGGCCTCGTGCTCATGCTCTTGAGTCCGTCTCGTTGGGACCACAGCTGACCGAAATTACAGTGAATAATAAGTGGACCTGCCTTATTCTGAATTCCTCTCTAGAGCTGAAGTTAGGCACATATTCCAGTTTCACTTATGTGGAACTGACGTGACTTAGGTTGTTCACATAGGAAAACTTAAAGGAGAAAAGCTTAATGATTATGCCTGAGACACATTTACTTTGTGACATACTCAGAATATAATATTCAAGTTAGTGAGAAAAGCTGTATCATCTGTGCTTGAATTAGTTACATCAAAGTTATTTTTTTGTTTGTTTTGTGTTTTTACTAATGTCTGACATGTAAGTACTTGCTATTAATGGATCTGGTTTGTCAAGTGGCATGTTAAGGGTGGTTGCTGAGGATACCTCTTATTGATAATATACTGAAGTATGAAAAATAGGAAGAGCTTGCTTGTGAATTTGTAATTAGGCTGTTATATTTCCATTTACTGCCACACAGGCAAGAATCACCGTGGCACAAAACAGATAAATCTGTTTGCAGTGGAATTTATTGGCCTTGGGCCACTGGATTACTGTCATTTGTCACTTTAGTGCTACTTCAGCAGTGTGAGCGTTCATTTCCAAAGATTTACATGTGCTGGATTCCAGTTTGCCTGTTTATTGAAGTGATCTCCCAAAAGGTCTTTCTGTGACTATTTCTGTCAATACAGGCTGAATTGAGAACTAGTGTAGGCAAAATAAAGGTAGTGTGTTCATAATGTTTGTTTCAGGGATCAGAGAGAGATTGTAGAATCTATCAGAAACCTAGATGTGGAGGCTTGGAAGGTAGGCTTTCATGAGCTGGCTATTTGCTGACCATTTGAAAGCTCTTTGGCTGTGATCTCATTTCAGCAGAAGGCCTGAGAAACCAGAAGCTACTGAGCATTAACTCCATTCTGGCCCTCTTGAAACGTCCTGTGCTCCTGTTACCCTTTCCTGGAGATTGGGGAGGGGAGGTGTAGAGATCGAGGTGTGGTTTGGGGGTGGGGAGAGGAAGGGGAAGAATGGCAGTGTGGAGAGGATTAAAGCTTATCTTTCTGGACTTTCCCTTTATGGCTTGAGAATTGGTAGCTGATAGGGCGCGTGTGGAGCGTTTGCTCAGTGCCTGTCACCAAGTGTCTGTGCTCTGATGGCTGCTCTGGTGACCTTCGGGCCTCTCTCCCTTTGGGGTTTTGTGTGCAGCTTTATTGGTCGTCGTCCTCCAGATTAATTCCCGATTTATTTTTCTGGTATTGGCTTGAGGGTTATCTCCTAAATTTACACTCAAATTCAGAACTCTCAGAACTAGTGCACTGGAAATAAAGTACCTCCTAATAGAAAGGCTGGTGTGTCCCCACTCTTGCACTTGTGGTGCTTGATTTCTTGATTTTGACATTTAGCTGTGTGCACCCCCATCCCTTCCGCCCTTTCTTCCTAATATCTGATGACTGTAGGTTATTGTGTCCCCATTTGTCCTTGTTTTATAATGTTCTTTTTCATCTGTGTGTAGTGGAAGCAGACACACTGGTACGCCCTTGCTCTTTTCTGGCAAAGTAGTATTAACAGTATTAAAAGAGTCATCCTGACTGCTTCAAGCTTATATTCTCATTTAGCTACAATGGGGGGAAGGAGATTGTGTGTGTGTGTGTATATGTATGTTTAGATGTTAATCAAATAATACTGGAGGTGTCAGGTGTGACTTGATATAAGAAACTTTAGGGAAAAACACAAATAAAACTGCCCAAAATAGAGAGGTTCATGTTATAGACCTGTTACTGCGGACAGCACTAGCCCTGGCTGGGGTGGGAGAGAAGAATCCTGTGCATTGGGGCCCCTCCCTTAGACAAGGTCCTCTGTTTGCCCTCAGAGTGATGGTGACAAGCTTTCAGACCATTTTCTCAACTTCTTTTCACTGTCCACAAAAATAGTTGTTTACCATCACTGTAAGTATATGTCAAAAATGCTCATTTTATGCCTTTCACTGTAAGTATATATACTGTATATACTGTAAGTATATGTCAAAAATATTCATTTTTATTCCTTACCATATATGGAATAAAGACAGATAACTGTATAAGTTACATTTTGCAAGCCATGAACCTTGTGAAATAGAACTGCCCCCAAACATTTAATATATGATTCTGAAAATTTTTATTAGCCTTTCAGTCTGATGAGTTTTGATCTGTATTATTTAATTGTTCTCACATAAACATGATAATGCCCTTTGCCTGGGATATAAGTGCTACATTTAAAATTTTATTTTATATCCACTTAAACTTAGTGAGGCCCAATTAACTTGCGGATTTTTATTTGGTATTCTAATAACTGTCGAGAATTTCTCATATTTTACTTTTGCATTTCTCCTATTTTAGACAGTTTGTAACTCTAGAGCAGTGAAGCAGTGCTTTTCTTGAGAGACTTCCAACTTAACATCATTAAAATATGTATTTCCCTTATTTCTGAAAGTATCAAACTTTTTTCTTTTGATAGGACATGTTGAAGCTTTAGGGGAAATCCAGAATTTGACAATAAAAGTTCAGTTGTAGAGTTTTTGGAGATTCTTGTCTGCTGTTCTAAAATACTTCTCTTGACACTGTAAGTATTCTACATAGGTGGCTGCCAAGATGTATTTTTTTGAGACCTCAAGTATGTCTTCTGCATAGATGTGGTCATTGGACAAGGGAGAACGTATTTACTATAAAACACTAAGCATTGCATTAATCAGTATTTGAAGAATGTTGCATAAACTGTACAAATTGCATGGTTTAAAAAGTGCCATGGCTTGTTTGGTTGACCTTACAGCGATTCTGTCATGTATTGTTATTATCACCATTTTGTGTACGAATAAAGTGAGGCCCAGAGAGGTTGTGACTTGAAGTCATATGGCTGTTAAGTGAGTGATCAGGGACTTAGAAGCAGGTCTTTGGACTTCTGAATCCTTGCTGTTTCTACTTGCCAAACTGCTTTCCTAGAAGAGACTGCTAGAAGCATGATGTTTCTCACTATGATTTCCCGTAATAGTTCTTCAGGGGAAGTTTATGGAGTGGATGAATGAATGAAGATTTAAATGTTTGAAGAGTAATATGTAACTAATTACTAACTGTTAGCATGTTACTAATTATTACTGTATTTTGTGTGTGGTACTTTTTGATCAAAGTCCTTATTGATTTCTTTTTAAAACAAAATAATGACATGCTATTTCTAAGCATACAAACAGTGCAGAAGTATTTAAAGTAAAAAACATGTCATCTTCTTCCTCTCTGATCCTTAGTCCTCTGGTTTGTATCCCCTGGGCCTTTTTTTTGTGAGGGCAGTTTTGCTTTTGTTTCTCAGTGTATCATCATTCAGCGTGTTCTAGCCAGACAGTCCCTGAGCTGAGCCTTGGGTTAGATCTTGTTTTTAAATTTATTGAGGCTGTCTATTCAAGTATAATGTTTTCTTATTTTTACCCGATTTTGCCAGGGAATTGAATAGATACTCTGGAGGCCACAGTAGTTTATTGGGACTGTGAAAGGGTTGTAGAAATTTCTGAGTAATAAAATGTCCAAACAACTTTTTTTTGTAAAGATAATTTGAAGACATTCAGTCCCTTGATTAAAACCACCATGCCATCCAGTTTGTAGTAAAAAGAGGTCTGATTCAAATTCAAATTCTTGTCTGTCTGTCACCTCTACACTAGTGACTTACTGAGAGGACAAACCTTTCATTAATTGGAGAGATGGGTAGGTCACCAGCCTGAGAGAATAGTTGGGAATTGGGTAGTTAAACCTGGGTTTTTCCCTATCTTCTCCAAAATCTTCTCCCCCTTTGTTTTAATCAAAGTCCTGCAATGGCAGAGAAACAAAACTCTCTCCCACCGCCCACCTCTGGTCTCTCTCCCCAGAGACAACCACATTCTACTACAAAATCAGGCCTTCCAAGGGGGGCATTCTATTTCATTTGGAATTAATTTGTAGGTATCAGACACTTTTATTCAGAACCACATATAAAGGACTGTATATCTTTTGTGATGGTTCAAAGATTTTTGGTGTCTGCATTGGGAATACAGAGCTGAAAAGAGAGTTCCTGTGCTTTAGAAGCTCAGAGTAGTGGGGGGAGAAATGAATCAGTGCACCCTGTTTTAGAACAACATAGTCAAGAACATCCATTCATTCATTCATTGAGCATATAGTTAGTGAGTGGCTGAGTACCAGGCACAGGATGGAGAGATGAGCAGAAACAGGCATTGTCCTTCTTACCAGGGAGCTTGCTGTCTAGTGAGGGAGACAGTTTCTAATCAGATAGTTCCAATAATTTATATGTCATCCAAACTGAGAAGTGGGTCCCGAAGGTAGGGAGCAGGGTCTATCAGTGTGACCTGGGGAAGTCAAGGAAGGGTTCCCCTGGAAGTGGTAGGGGAACTTAGAGATGCACAGCACGAGGCCCTGTGGCTGCAGGGTTTGGAGCACTTAAGAGAACTCAGAGGAAGCCCTTGTGCCCTGAGCTCAGCACTGGAGAGGAAAGGCAGACAAAGGTCTGTCCAGCCTTGCGGCCTTTCTTAGATGTTAATGGCTTTATCCTGAGAAAAATGAGGAAGAGGGGATCGTGTGTCTCTTGACTGTGGAACCTTATAATCAGGCTCACGCTCTGACTGCCCCGTGCAGAATAGACTCTGGTGGGGTCACAGTGGCCATAAGGAGATCAGGTAAGAGGGTTCTTGGATTTTTAACCAGGGATGGTGCAGTGGAGAGAAGTGGCGTGCTCTGAGAGCTCATTAGGTATGTCAGAGATTGAATGAGGACCAGAGTGTGACTGCATGTCAAGGGAAGCTGGGAAGATGGCTCTTCTAGAAAGGTGACATTTTGGGCAGAGAGGCATGAGGACAAGCGCATATGGGGGAGAACACACAGGGAACAGAAGTCTCAAAGCCTGTGGCATATTTGGGAACCTGAGAGTTGTGGCTGAAATGATGTGTGATATTAGTGATGGGGACAGGAGTCAGAGGGGACAAGCTAAAGATTGCATCTGCTCTTATAAGCAGGGGGTATCTGTGGGGAACCACAGGTTTAGGAGTAAAACCACAGGTTTTAGGAAGTGGGTAGCAGCCCCTTTTATGCTAATGTTGCTGATGGAGGCGATTGTAAGGGGTCTAATGAGGTCCTTCATGGGTTGTCAGGGTTTCACCCCTCGGGATCACCCAGATCTGGGGATGTCTTCTCTGCTCACTTCACACTCCAAGCACACATTGGGTTTTCAGAATGAGATTTCTGATTAATTAGTTCCTTTTCAACCAACATCTATTCAGCTCTTGTTGTGTGCCAAGCTTTGTTGAGTTTTATAAGTTGCAAAACACAGTCATACAAATACATCTAAGTACAGATGCACTCCCTGAAGCCGTAGTGAAGGCTGCTGACGGCTCCTGTGGTCCGTCCTGTGGGACGAGGCTCTGGTACAGACTCCACCTCGGCCCATCCTGTGGCCCCTCATGTCCCGTGCGTTGGAACTGATTCTCATTCAGCCTGAAGCCTGTTCTGGTCAGGATCGCTTGGAGGGTGTGTGTGCGGCGTTAAGCCAGTTTGCCATCAGGAATTCTTGCTGCCTTTTTTTTGTTGCTGGTTGTGAATTTGTCAGCTTGGAAAATTCTTGGCCCCCAGTTTTTCACAAACTGGTGCCAAAGTGATTACCCTTGGTTCCTTCTTCCTATTGAACTCTTGCCTTGTTTATGCCACAACCACGCTGTGTGAGTTAAGTGTGAAACAAACATTTTCTCTTTCATTTGTGACTAGAGTTCTCATCATTGAGAAAGGGATAAGAGCTTTTTTTTTTCTTTTAAATTAAAAAAAATAAAACTTTCTCCACCGTTCTCCAGTCTTGGCTGGAAGCTTAGCTGAGTGTAACTCGATCTTCACACACAGTGATACTGTGGCAGCGGTCCTAGGATGGCTAGTCCTAGACACAGCCACCAGAGCTGACTTTGGAAAGAGTTTGCGTCCTGTCTTGTGGCACGTGTTGAATAAATGGGCTGCTTTTCTTTTTAAGGTGGACAGGCAGCAAAGTACATTACCATCTTGTTTCTTTGCCGTTGATTTCCTTTTGGGTGGAAACAGATTTGTTGTTGTTTAGTCCATCACTTCCCTATGAAAAAGGAAAGGAGTCCCACATGTGGTGTGCATGGCAAGTTTGAGGGCCATGTGGACTTTGATTCCATAGGTGCCATGTCTTTCCTCAGACGGTCAGTCACCTGTTCTTGGAGGACTGCAGTGTAGTGGTGGAAAGAAGACCTGGCCCTGCCTGGTGGAGGGGACCACCGCACAGATGGTCTAACTGGAGCTCTGGCAGGTGCTCTGAGGCGAGAGTAGGGGCCCAGGAGTGATCTGGCTGCTAAGGAAGGCTTTCTTGAGATCTTGGTCCCCTCCAGCACCTCCAGTGCCGAGCACAGCATCTTGCCTTTGCTGTGTGTTGGATGCATAGTTGATTGACAGAGGGACTAACAAAGAGAGCACCTGGGGGTCTTTCAGTCTGTTCAGGGCTGATACGGGTTTGCTTTGGTGTTTCCGCTTCTAGGAATGAAGATCAGGACCACAGTGTGCAGGACCGTGAGACAGATTCTCTATAGAAATACCGTTTAATAATGAGACCTGATCGAGGAGAGACGGGCTGCTCAGCAAGTATAATTTCTGCATTAGGAATGTGTGGGTGACCACTAAGCTCCTTTTAAAAGGTTTCCTTGCTCTTTTCATCTGTATTGTGTCATGTCTTGAATCCATGTGATTGACCTGCATGTCAGATAATGAGGTGTTTTGTTTCGGTTTTTGAGCTGTTTCTCAACATGTGTAGTCCTGAGATGGGGGAACAGTTACTGATGCTAGTACCGTGTCTTCACCCCAGCTTTCCCCACCCAGTTAGAGGGCCGTGGCAGTGATCCTTTGCTGACCTGGTCAGAGCAAATGCCGTTATCCTCCAGATTTCAGAGCCCGGGAGCCGTCAGCCTTTCCAGGTAGAGAGCCTCATTGTATGTCAGTGATGTGTGTAAGTTTCACGAGGGCAAGGATTTGTTTGTTTGGTTCACTGATACGTCTCCAGGGCCTAGAGCATAAGTGCTCAGTAAATACTTACTGATGAGTACTTCAATGAATGGCATAACACACACAGATTCAGGAAGTCCACAGCTGAGGGTGGGAAGGAGGCTAATGAACTGTTAAAATCCCCAGTGACTAAGCAGGTTTGTCAGGAAAATAGTTCGCAAAGATGAGACTCTGAAACTGAGTTCTGTAGTGTGAGGAGAACAAAATAATTAGTGGTTATTGAAAAAATGAAGTTTTTTTATGTTTGGATTTTAAAACTACATACTAATTTGATCAGAAGCAAGTTATGCATATGAAACACTTGAAAAAGATTAAGATCTTTATATAAAATACTTGCCAAAAAAACTGGCTTGTGTTTGGTGAAGGCCACCTGTTTACTGCTGTAGACAGTCAGGAAGGCAGCCAAAGTGTTCTTACCTCGTGTAGGTAGTGGGTGACTAAGCAGGTGACTAAGGCAGAGAAAGCAGTTGGGGCACATGATGAAATGTGTAATAAGTGCTGAACTGTGTGGTGCACTTAGTCCTCCAGCAGTGGTTCAGAGAGCGGAGGAGATGGGAAATGAGTAGCCCTGACAATGAATAGGATTCCTTGACAATGAATAGGATTTGAGCAAATGGAGAGAAAGAAGGAAGGAATTCTCTGTGGGCAAACAGAGTGAGTAGTGCTTAGATTTCAGATTAACCTGGTGTTTTGCTTTTTGGTTGAATCCCCTGGTCACTGCCACCACAACTTGGAATGAGCCTTTCATCTCCTTTATTGCTCACTCCGTTCCTGTCCTGGTTAGGGTGCTTTCGCTAACAAGGAAGAGAGAGCTCAGCTCTGACTGGAGGTCTATTTGCTCAGGAAGCTAGAAATTTCAGAGATGGGGCAGGTTTCAGGGTTCGTGTGATTCATCAGTTCAGTGATATCTTTGGGGACTTGGTTTCTTTTCTCATCTGTTGTAACAGGATTAGCCTATGGCTAGTTTCCTCCAGGGGACAAAATGGCCATAGCAGCTGCAAGCTTCCCAGGGGCCCAGCCTGCAGCACCTCAGTCAGAACAAGAGAGTGAGTGTGTGTCCCTGAGTTCTCGGCCGTGTGCCGAGCTTTGTGCGCTCTGGGCCGCTCCTGAAGCAAGTGCTGTGGGCTGGGAGGGTGGCACACCAGGCCGGGCTCCCGTCTGGGGCAGGGGGTGGGTGGGTGTGTGTCAGCCTTGACCTGGGTGCCCACTGTCAGTAACAAGGGGAAGAGAGTGAATGTTGGGAGTCTGGCCACAAAGTCCATTACAGCCCCAACCCGAAGAACCATCCCTCCCCCAAGTCCTCTCCGGGGCTCGTCACTTCCCCTTCCTTCCGGACTCCTCAGGCTAAAGACTGTCCTTTTTCCTTGACAAGTGACCCGGTATTATCCGGTGGCATCTTACTGTATCTCATAGTCTTCCTTAAACTTTATTGGTCCTTAACTATTTGTGTATCTGCCTTGGGGTCGGCCCCATGTTCCAGGCCTAGCTCTCCTATATTTTGTTCATGGGGTCTTGGGCAAGGTTATTTCTCTAAATTTAAAAGTTTTTTTCATCTTCATCATGTAGTCGACATGTATATGCTAGGTTCTAACCACTGTGCTTGAACAGACGGGATCCAGAACTGAAAGACACAAGGAAAGCGCAATTCATTCACAGAGACACACAGGTAAATGAGAATTACCGTGAGGTGTGGGCAATGATGTGATTGAGATAGGGGTTGGGAAGACTTCCCTGAGGCGGCGATGCCCATGCGGAGCCGTGACAGGCAAGCAGGAGTTGTCAGAGCCGAGAGGGGAGAGGAAGCTACTTGCACGAAGGCTTCACGGAAGAATGGCGAGGATGCTGGGGTCCTGGTGCACGAGCGGGAGAGGCTAGGTTGTTCAGGCAGAGACCCTTGATGCCAAGCTGGAGAGTTGAGATTCCATGTCTGTACTCTACAGTTAGGAGTTGACCGTATGCCCTGGTTTATGCCTGATGTTTAGGGTAATTAATGTGTTTCTTTTGCTTTCAAATATGCCTCCTGTTTGGATGGTAAATGGTCACCCGTCTTAAAGTATGTGTTCAGAGCAGTGGTAGCAGTGTGCAAGAGGCAGTGACGCTTACCTTACATTGGAACCTTGGGATGATGTAACAGCAGAGCCATGCTTCTCAGACTTAAACTGCGTTAAGAATCAGCTGGGGATCTCGTTAAGGGCACGTTTGGCTTCAGTAGGTCTGGGGTGGGACCTGAGAGCTGTGTGAGCTCCCACGCAATGCCTTTGCTGCTAGTCTGGACTCCACACTTTAAGTAGCAGGTTAGTGTAGGACATCAGGAGTGTCAGAGTGTCTGCAGTCATGACACTCAGAGCTCCTGAAATCATGAAAAAAGGTGTGTATGTGCATTCTTCAGGAAGTGGGGCTAAATTGCTCACATCAGACTCAGGTAGATCTTCCACTACCCAAAAAGGGTTAGGAATCACTGCCTTTTAGAACTAATGGCGATGGTGAGATGAGATCTGTATATTAAATGCCTTTAATGCTGTGCCTAACTCATAACAGTAATTCAGTATGCATTAGGTGTCTGTCCTTCCCTCCCAACGCTGTCTATTGCCAAGTTCTTTGAAGGAAGGAGACATTGCTTACACATCTTAAATATCTTTTGTCATGTCTGATACCATTGGTGCTCAGTAAAAATCTGTTTAGTTTGGTGACAAATTGTTCTAGTGCTAGGTGTTGAGAGGCTGCTGCCTAATCTTGGTTGTCGCAATTACCCAGGCATGGGGGGGTCATCTTGGGCTGGAGAGTAGCAGTAGCAGGACTGAAGGAGATGAATCAGATACTTTTGTGTGTGATCTGCTATCGAGATACGATGTGTGTTCACAAAGGCGCTCCTCCTGCCTCGGATCCGTTGAGATCTTGTACTCTGGATCTCAATTGTATGGGATGTCAGTGTGGATCCGTTAATTAGAATGCTTATTTCAGTCCATGTTTTGCTATTCTTCTTGCCAAATACAATGTTTTGAAACATTTTTGCAGCATATTTTTTTCAACATATTTTCTTGAGATTGTTCCAGAAATTTGGGATGGAATAGGTACATGATTCAAAATAATCTTCAGAGTTTCTCATCTAGAAGGTTGAAACAATGAACGATGCCATTGGCGTAATTGTAAAAGCTGGCTTGGAGATAATAATGAGCGTTTTTGAGTTTAAGGTTAAAGTAGATCATAAAAGTAGAAGCACTGCGGATTGGCAGCCTGAAAAATGAAACTGGAATATAATTGAGCAATCCAGTCTGAAGATGTGAATTTGGAATTCACCAGTGCAGCTGAAGCTGAGACGGTAGAGCTGCTTAGGGGATGTCTCCAGTGCCAGCCCAAAAGAGTGTGGTTAGAGATAGGATTGAGTCATGCAGGGTATGGAAGCCACTGATGGGAAGAATATCATGAAAACTGTGAAAAAGAGTTCTTGTTATTAAACATATATGTTTAATAGAGAGATTGACTAGTTTGAGGATGTAAAATGCTCTTGGATTGGAATGAAAGTTATTTTTGAAAAAGAGTGTTGGAGGTGAAAGATTTCAGGGAGTTTAAAAAACAAATAGGAAATGGGTTCAGCCACAAAACAACTGTATGGAAAAGACATTTCTGAGAAGTTGCGTGGGAATTGGATTTGTTTATCAAATGATCTAGTTTAGTTGCATTAAAGTTTTTCTAGTGATTGACAATTACCTTCACTGTCTGCCTTTAAATTAATGATAAATAAATTCTTTAAAGCACTAAAAGAGTTCCTATTTTAAAAACATCTGTTCTTGAATGTTGTTCATTAAGCAGTGGGTCCTCTTATAATGTGAATAATCATCTCAAATTGTTCCACAGTTTCTGCTGAGTGGTTTGGGGGCAGAACTGTGGTGACGGAGCTCTGCTCGCCCTCCCTCCTGTTGTCTGCTTAGTTATCCTCAATTCCCCAGCGGTAGGGCTTTTTCTTGGGTAATGGGAACACGCCCTAGACGGTGTTTCTGAGCCCTGACTAGATCGGAATCACACAGGGAGCATTTAAAATTCTGAGTGAAGTCTGGGTGATTGATTGTAAGGTATAGCCAGGCCTTCGTGTATACAGCTGATACTGCTCCCCTGCTAGGTGAGCCCCACCAGGGGTTAGTTTTCTGCTGCTGTTCAGAGAAGAGTACTGTGAGCTGATGGGGTGAAAACATCTTTTTTCCAGGACACTAAGTCCTGAGCTCCACGTACTTGCTGTAGGGGATTTTCTGAAGTCTTGAGTTTTGTTTTTTTCTAATAAAGAATTTTTGATCATAACAGTGAACTTAAACACATAATTCAAGAATGGAGTGCAATCTATTGTTTTGGCTGGTAAAGTAAACTATACCTGCATAATTATACAATCTTTGGAGGCTATTTTTCATTAGGTGGAAGTTAAATTGAGAAAGTAGATCGTGGACTGCCTGCCTCTTCAGTCGGCTCGGCAGATCTGTACCTATTGACTGCCCTTGTAGCATGCCGTCATTTTCAGCAGACAGTCATTTTGCAGCTTTTACTGCTTGGACCAACTCTTCTAAGTAACTTTGGTTTTCATTAACAACCAAAGCGACTCATTTGGAGGTGCATTCTATACTTCTGCCCAAAAATCAGGAGAAGGGTGTGTGCACCACTAACACGTACTTTTGTTAGTCAGCCCTAGACTCTCCAAGGTACATGAGGAGACCTTCTGCATGGCTAGCACATTAGAAGAGAATCACTTAGGTAGTTACACTTCTTTTTCCCTGAGTGTCTTTTAACGGGAAGCTCTGGTTTGGTGATGTGCTTTCCTTTCTGGCAGGCGGCTTTCAGTGGCTGAGCATTTGTTGGTTTGGTTGCAGCATATTTCATTAAGTGAAAAATCCTGGAGAACAGATACACTTACACATTTCTGCCCATGTAGCACTCTGTTTAATGGAACACAAAAGGTTTTTTTTTGAAGTATCATTAATACACAATCTTACATTGGTTTCAAGTAGACAACACAGTGAGTAGTTCTGCAGTTGCCCATGTTATTAAATCCTCACCCCACTAGTGCAGTTACTGTCTGTCAACCTAGGAAGGGGTCACAGAATCATTGGTTATGTTCTCCATGCTGTACTGCCATCCCTGTGACCCACTTATATTGTGATTGAGAGTTTTTGTGCCCTTTATCATCCTCCTCACCCTTCCCACCTATGTACCCCAATCCCTCCCCCATGGTAACCACCAGTCATGTCTCAGTGTCTGTGAGTCCACTGCTGTTTTGCTGGTTTTGTTTTGTTTTGTTTTCAGATTCCACAAATAAGTGAAATCATATGGTTTTTGTCTTTCTCCACCTGACTTACTTCACTTAGCATGATACCTTCTAGGTCCATCCATGTTGTTGCAAATGGCAGGATTTCTTTCTTTTTTATGGCTGGATAATATTCCATTATGTTTACATACCACATCTTCTTTATCCATTCATCCACTGATGGGACACTTTAGTTGCTTCCATATCTTGGCTGTTGTAAGTAAACATAAGGTGGCAGTAAACATGGGGGTGCATATATCTGTTTGAATCAGGGATTTTGTTTTCTCTTGGGTAAATTCCTAGAAGTGGAATTACTGGGTCATATGATATTTCTATTTTTAGTCTTCTGAGGGACTTCAATACTGTTTTCCATACTGGTTGTACCAATTTACATTCCCACCAACAGGGAACACAAGAGTTTTGACTCAATGTTGGCAAGAATACACAATGTGTATATTTTGGGCTTGAGTAGGTAGGTAGTCAGTGATTCAGGCAGTTATAAAGGCTGAGCTGAGCTGGAACAACTCGAGGCAGTGATTGGGTGACAGCAGAGGCCACCCTTGGCCATGAGAACAAGCAGCAGAACGCAGACATTGTGCTCTGTGTTTTTTAGCTCACAGTGGGCATCACTTCTAAGAGTCTTTGGACCAAGGAACATAAAATCTTTAAAAAAAAATCCCAATGTGGTTATTTACAAATACAGAGTACTTAAGAATTCTATTCATGTGAACGAAAGACTGTTATGGTCCTTGGTCTTCAAGAGCTCGGTTGCCTCATCCACCTTATTTGTAGATTAGATCCATTAATTAATTTGATTGTGTATCAATTAAAAAAACGTTTGAGTTATAATTTAATACAATAAATTTGCCCATTTATTTTAGGTTTGCAGTTTGAGTTTTGACAAGTGTATGTATATATACACTGGGATAATTCCCACCAGTCAAGATACAGAGCATTTCCATTGCCCAAAAGGTTCCCTCTTGGCTCTTCGCTGGGGATCCCACCCTGTACCCAGTCAATTACGAATCTGCTTTCTGTTGCTATAGGCTGTTTCCCTTTTCTAGAATTTTGTTTATGAGGAATTACACAAAATGTACGCTTCTCTCTGTAGGAAACTGCCACACTTTTTTCCCCAAAGCACTTGTGTCATTTTACACCTGTATTGGCAGTGCATGAGAATTCCCCTTCTCCTGTGACCTCACCAACACTTTGTATTTTAGTCTTCTTAATTTTTTTTTATTCTTTTTTTTTTGGTATCATTAATTTACAATTACATGAAGAACATTATGTTTACTAGGCTCCCCCCTTCACCAAGTCCCCCCCAACATACCCCTTCATAGTCACTGTCCATCAGTGTAGTAAGATGCTGTAAAATCCCTACTTGTCTTTTCTGTGTTGCACAGCCCTCCCCGCGCCCCCCCACTCTGTACATGCTAATCATAATGCCCCCCTTTTTTTTAGTCTTCTTAATTTTATTGTGCATCAGTTTAAATAGAATTTTTTGTGCATAGGAACATGAGTCCATGTCTGGGACACAAAAGTGAGTAAGACACTGTGTAGATAGTTCTTAGTGAAATTATGTTTTAAAAATTTAGGTAAAAAAGGGGGAGAAGAAAGATAAGTGCCCTCTTCACACTGGACACAGGCGACCTGTTTGATGGTCAGGAATAGTGGGGTGGGAAATAAAAATGGATTTTTGAAAGGGTGCTTATCCTAAGGCATTCTGCTCACACATGGTTTGAATTGCATGTTTTTCCCCTACTAGATTAAAATTTGAAAGTTGATTTTTCTTTAGTTGGGAGACCATGTGGTAGTTGTGAATGATTTTCTTCTAGGTCAAAATAGATATGCTCTTGAAGTTTTATGTAAAACTTAATTCAGTTGTCTTGATTATGTTTAATTGTTATATTTAAAAAGTAAAAGCTATATCTTGATTATATTAAAGATTATATTTAAAAATGAGAATTGTACTCCTGGTAGAACATTTCTGGCGATAGTAAAAGCAGGAGACTAAAAACCAGTCAGAGCAGTCAAATTAAGATTTGTCAGTCCCCTGCCTTCTGGGAAGTTTACGGTTGTGTGGAGTATGGAGTGGTTATCATTCCTTATCCCTAGAACTTTTATTTGTTGTGGGTTTTTTCTTTTCTTCTTTCTCATCCAGAATTGATTTGTTCCAACAGAGCTGTTTTGAAAACCGACTATAAACCAAGTACTGCACTAACCCCTGGTGATACATAGAGGAACTTAACTTGGTTTCTGTTCTTTTTAAACTTTATGTGCCATAATATCTGTGCAGTGAATCTCACCCATTTAAAGATGTAGTTTGATTAATTTTTACAAATGGCCCCATTTGTGTTATCGCCTCCACAATTAAGATACCATTCCCACATTTCCGTCAGCCCTGGAAAGTTCCCTGGTGCCCCTTGCCTCCTGTCCTTTCATTCACCCCTTGACCTCAGCAAAGGGAGAGCTGCTGGTACAGTTTCTTTTTAATTGATGGTGTTTCTTTTTTCTTCTCTTCTCCCTTTCTCCCTTCCTTCCTTCCTAGATTAGCACCAAGGTGATTGCCTGTTTTTATAGCCATTACAGAATCTTGAATTTCTACTGGGGTTATCCCAGATAACATGCACCAAATTAACTCCTTAATTTATTAGCTCTGTTCTATGTGATAAAAATTCTGTACAGCAAATTATTGTATAATGAGGGCTATTTTTATTATCTTGCTGTTTAGTAATAGTTTAGAGCAAAGCAAGTTAAAATTTAACCGTCATTGTGTAATGTAACTAATATCGACATAGGACTGGAAAGTTGGTTGAAGTGGATTTCTGTTAAATGAATGTTTTCTAATTTAGAGATGCGGTCTGTGGAAACGAAGTTTAGCTCAGAATCTCCATAAAACACTTACAGAATATATGGCCAACCTGTTAGAAATCTGATTTGACTAGTGAGGACTTTTGATAGCACTTTTAATAGAAGGAATACATGCACAAACCACATGAAAGTTGATTACACTGCAGTACTTTTGAATCCCAAGGAGGGATGCTGTCTATGAGAGTGGCTTTGTAACACAGATTGTCCATTTTGTCCCCTCTCAGGACCCTTCTGCGCTGAGAGGAAGCAGAATTCTGCCGCAGCCCAGGCCGTTGAGGAGCAAGCCTTTCTCTGCCTTCCTCTTTGTGGTGCCTGCGTTTGCCCTTTGTAACACTCACTGCAACTTGCGGTCCGCTTGCACTGTGACGAAACTGTACATGTCATGATGTCCTGAACCCTGTGTGTCTTTAAGTTTATTCTCATAATTTAGCATAGTTCAGTGGGAATAGTTGGTGCTCAGTACAATTGCAAAGTGAACGAAATTCCTGCTGTGAACAGTGTCGTCTCCACATATCTCTAACCCACACCACTTTCCAGTTGAAAGTGTGCTGTGATTGAGTAGATGGCAGTCAGTATCCAGCAAGTACTGGGCTGTGATCAATGAAGTTTAATGAAGAAATAAAAATTGTTCTTGTCATGCAAGTACTGACCTGATTTTTTTTAACTTTACTGAGGTATAATTCGCGTACCGTAGAATCCACCCATTTAAATAACTGTACATTTCAGTGGTTTTTAGTATATTCACAGAGTTGTGCAACCATCAATGTTTTAGAACATTCCATCACTCCAAAAAGAAGTCTCATATCATTATCAGTGACTGCCCATTTTCCCTTCTCCCAACCCCTGGAAGCCACAGTCCACCTTGTGTCCCTAGGGATTTGCCTCCTCTGGACTTTGCATATGAATGGGATCAGACAATATGTGGCCCTTCTTTCACTCAGCATAATGTTTGCAAGGGTCTTCAGTATGGTGGCATTAGGTTAGTATTGGCCTGAGGACATTTCTAAGCCCGTGTTTATTTCTAAAGTCCTGGCTAGATCCAGGAGATCCTTTTGGAACTGGGAAAACTTCGGAGGTTGTCTAGTCTGGCATATGCTCATTTTAGAGATGAAATCAAGACTTTTACCACTCTCCAAACGGTTTATTGTAAGTCCTTAATGATTCCTTGTATCTCCCAAGTTCAACTTGGTCTGGGAAACGAGGGAGAAGACTATGCATCTCAGTTCTTGTTAGCTGGGACAGTTCTTAGTTCTTCTCAGTTCTTGTTAGCTGTGACTTAGAACCATCATTTTACCCCCAGCTTTGCTCCTGTGCGCAGGACACTGTTCCTGGAGTGGGGGTCACACAGTGGGCTGGCTGCCTTGGAGGTTGTGAAGTAAGATGCACATGCCATGAAGTGCAGCATGCTTTATTGGTCTCTGCCTTTCTATCTTAATTTTTGCTTTAGAGGCTGATCTCCTATTTCCATGAGTCCTTCTGAAGGCAGAGAACATTGATTTGGTGGCCTACATGTTTGTTAGTGCTTCTGGAAATGAAGTTTTAGAAGTCGACTGAAGGCGCAGCACACTGTGCTCCAGCGCCCCCTAGTGCCATGCTTCGGTAGTAGTGCTCATTCTCCAGTCTTCCTGCGAAGAGTGGGATTTCCTGTGGCATCATTAGGTCTGTGGAGAGCTGTAGGTCACGCGGTGGAACCATAAATGTCTTCCCTTGTCACTTTCCTTGAATGCAGTTGCATCTCCACTTTTCCTTTAGCAAAAACACTGGTATTTCCAGTTCTTCCCAGCCCTTTCCTGAGGGTTTACAGACTGGGCCCTCAAAGGGCTGTGGCCTCCAGTCTCCTCCATAAGATGACAGAGTGGCTGCGCCCACGGGCTGTGCTTCAGTGAGGGGTCTTGTTTCCATGTGGGCTTCTCCCCTTGTCCTTATAAGTGGTTCCTGTATATTTGTATACATATATTGTTTTCATGTCCTTTCTAGAAAGGATCAGAGAATAATCAAAACATGGGAATAGTGGGAGTTTGCAAAGCCTGAGCTGGGCTCTGTTGCAAATGAGGGGAAGCTCAGCTGTGCTCCTGGTGGAGAGGAGCCGCTCACCTCGCAGGCTCGCTTCCCCTGGAGGGGGTACTCAGAGGTCGGGGCTCTTGTGGTGTGTCCCTGGACCACAGGCCTTTCTGGAGGGCCTGGCAGCAGCTGGGGAGCAGCAGTGGGTGCTGCCTCGTGTTGCTCCCCATGACTCGGCTGAGCAGCCTGCTCTGCTGGGGGTTCAGGCGTTCCCAGCTTGGCCTTCTGTAGTTGGTGCAGTTGTTAGAAGATGAGAAGAGGAAAGTCATTAGCAACACAAACACTTCTGTGAAGTGCCAGGCCCGCACCAGGCTTTGGCGATGCGGGAAGAATGTGCTTGTTCTGCTGTTTAGTGTCCCATGTAAACTTAATTGTCCTGTTCTATTTCATTCTGCTCATTCAGAACAAAACTAACTCATGTCGTGAGTGGCGTTTTCTTCCTCAGTAAGTGGTAAATCCAGGGAAGTCAGGTCCAGGTCACTTTCAGCTTTTTTTTTTTTTAACCCAAGCACATACAATTTTTTCCCCCTAAAAACAGGCTTTAAGATGTATTTATTAATCCTCTAAAGGAAGGAGCGTATTTTATATTCACTTTAAGAGAGGGCTAAGGGTTTTTCTCACAGTCAAGTGTTCTCAACTTTAGCTTTAAACCAGAAATTTCTTTTCTTGGAAATAATTTCAAATTTATGAAAAATGTGAGAAGAAAACAGTACAAAGAACCCTTACCTGATTGACCTGTTGATGTTTAACCCCATCTGCTTACTCATCAGTGTATGCCTGAGTTCTCTCTCAGCTACTTGTAGACAAACACGTGTGCACACACAGATAGGCACATGACTTTTTTCCTGCACCCTGAGATTTGAGAGTAGTGTATGTATATATGACCTTTTGCCCCAATATGCTTGAATGTGTATTTCCTAAGAATAGGAATACTCTCATATATAACCACAGTAGGATGGTTATCACTTTGTTAAATTTACACAGATGCAGTACTTTTTTCTAACCTGCTGTCCATATTCTAATTTTGTCAGTTGACCTAATAATCTCCTTTATAGCATTTTCCTCTGGGACAGGAGCCAATCTAGGCTGATACATTGCATCTAGTTGTCATGTCTCTTAACTTGTGTAATCTGGAATTTTTCCACAACCTTTCATGACATTGACTTTCTTGAAGAGTGCCAACCACCCTCCGCCCAACTTTTGGTAACATTCTTCATTTTGCCAAACACCTGAAATAATTTGTGATTGAAAATAAGGAAGGCTGTTGGGGAAGGATATGGTGAAATCTGAACATTTTAATGGCAGTTAGGTGTCCTGAATTTCTGTGATAAACTCTTCAGTTTTTAGTCAGATGTAATTTTAGTTAAATCATTTTCACTAAAATGCAGGGGAGTGTAATTTATGTCTGCTTATTGGGATTTGCTATTGAATAAAATATTTGGCCTTTGCTCTTGTAGTTTTAACAGGACATCAAAAAATTAACTTTTTCTTCCAAATAACTTTAAGCTGAATTTTATTTTATAAGCAACACTCCTATTTGCCTTTTTGGAACAGTGTGGATAATAAATGCTTCTTTGTGGTATGATGCTTCCTGTAATCATTTCTGAATGATGCAGATGTTTTTGTTAAGCACTGAAATTATGTCAGAGCCTCAGAGTTTATATGGATATTTTAACATTCCAAATGAATGTTTAAATGGTTACCAAAGAGACATTAAGTTACTTTGCTTTGAAAGAAATATTTATCCTTTTTTTCCCACATGCACTGTGGTGGCAGGAAGTTCCCTTTTATTAAGTCTCTCCTTGCCTGATGCCTCAGTGTGACGTGTGGGAATGACCGCCCCGGACCCGAGGCCTGCCTTTGCCCGTGGCTGCGCTGTGTGTGGGTTCCGGTTTGAGTGCCAGGAACATGTGCATAAACACACAGGAAAAAGATGAAGTCGTGTATCTGCGTGAGCTCATGGGGAATACTCAGTCTACAGGATTGTGGGGTCCTAAGTAAACTCCTTGGGGTGGGGTATGCCATGCAGTGATGTTCGTAGTCCCTGGTCTCGGCTTCTTAGCAATCCTCTTATCTCAGTCACAGAATTGAAAGGACTGTCTTTTATATTGGTGAAGTGTAACCACTCACTTTCAACAAACTCATTCATTTTAGGGATTGAAAATAGGCCTGAGAGCGACAAGGGAATGTGACTCGTGTATTTTGATGGAGTTGTTCATTGAGACATCTGAGCCAGTGTTAAGGAAATTATGTCGGGAGTCGAGAACAGCCGTGGCCGGCCGTTGTCAAGTGCTCAGTGGTAGTTTATTGTAGCTTTGATGGTCAGCATTTGGCAGTTGCTTTTGCTGCCTTTTTTGGATTGAATGTTTTCATTGACTTCTAATCTGTTGTCAGTGATACCACAGGAGCAAATTTAGGTACAAACTTGTCACATCTCTGCAAAATGGGCATATTTGAATAGTTGTACAGTGATTTCTCTTGTTAACATTGATTTTATTAATTTTTTTTAGTTAAGGTATTGATGTTCAGAACTAATACTCTGAAAAGATACCCTAAGAAATCTCACTTCTGCTCTGCTACCTTTATTCACATTCCCTTGTTGGTTCCCTTTCCAGTATCTCTTCATGCAAACAAAGGTTTTTCTATTTTCCTGCCTATGTTACCTGAAGAATGTTTTCTTCATGTAACAGTATCTTGGACGTTTTTCCCTACCTGTATATCATGTGAATATTACGTGAAGGTGTTTTTGTTCTTAATAGGTATTTACTGTTTGGGTAACTTTTGCCAAAGAGCCCTCTAGAAATGTTTCCCTAGAAGTACTGGTGCATTCTTACCAACAGGCTGTGAGAGTTAGCTGCCGTTTCTTCACATTTACAATAATAGTAGGTATTATCCATTTATATATACATAGTTATGGGTGATTTTTGAATATATGTTCGTAGCTTTCCCTGTAGGTTACTAGATTGTCCTCTCTAAGGGAGAAGAACCCAACTCTGCTAACCATTTTTATCCACAGTACCCACTGTTGTCCATGGCACTTAGGAGGGTCTAAATAATTACTGATTAAGTGAATGAGTGATTAACGGTTGATTCAGTGTGGTAAAAATCTAATCATACTGGTTCTTCTCAATGACTGGCTCCCAAAGCCCCGGGGAGAATATGAACTGCTAGGCGCTCACCAAACCTGCTTCCATGCGGTTTGATCTGTTGTTTTTCTAGAAAGTCACATTTGGAAAATTATGTAATGAGGGTTCACAATTAGGTTCGTGTGTATTTAACAATATTTTTGTGCATGATTTTTTTAAATTAAAAAGTCATATAAATATTCTTAAAGCTCATTCATCAGGGTCATTAAGATTTTCCTTTTCTTGGATTTCCCTGTCTTCCCATTTGAACCACGTTTTCTGCTTTTCTTTAGTATGTATGGCAGAGAAAACTGAAATGGAGGTAGTGACATGAGTCAGCAGAAAGGTAAATGGAACAACTGGAAATGTTTGTGAACTAAAAAATTCTCCTGCAAGCAGGACAGCTTATGAGTTTGAAGAGAATTGGCCTGTTTGAAAATAAGTTTTTTCAATTTCGGAGTGTTCTTTGACAATTTCTAGAAAAGGCTAAGTAGTATTTTCTTATTTGTAAATGGAAAATACTACACCTAGAAATCTGTTTGCAGACCTTTGATTTAATTGAGAAAGGGTCTTGGAGATTCTGGCCCAAGTATTTCACAGAATTGGTATCATATATAGCATTCTTTCTGAAAGTATGTAATTCGTATATTTTATGTGATCAGTGACTCTCTTTTTTTCAGTATATTTTTGGAGATTTTAGCCCTGATGAATTCAATCAGTTCTTTGTGACTCCTCGCTCTTCAGTTGAGGTAAGACAAAACTTTTATTGAGCGTGTATGTAGATAAGATTAAGGGTTATGTTACGGTCTTGACGTTTTAATTTATGCTTTTTGATAAAGAATTCCAATATATAGAAAAGTGCGGACACTAGTATGAGAAATGCCTGAAGGTGCCAACCAGTTTTGGCTAATGTTAACATTTTGCTGTATTTATAAAGAGGAAAATGTTACAGATACAGATAGATACTCTCCTGCACACTTCCCCCATCTCATTCCCCTCCTTTCCCAGAAACAACACTGCTGAGATTGGTAAGGATCATGTCCTGTGATTTTTACCTTTTACTGTGCATGTGTGTGTATCAGCAGATATTTAATTGTTTTCTGTGTTTTAAAATGTCACATAAGTGGTTTCATACTGTTTCATGATTTTGTAGTTTATTTTTTAAGCTTACATATTCTTTAGATTTATTTTTGCTGATACATTTTGTTCTTGCCCTTTGATTGTAACTGCTACATACGCTGGTTGAACATACGGCAACTTACTTGGCTTTTCTCCTATTGAGCACCATTCAGGGTTTTCTTTCTTCATTGTTACAAAAGGGTTACAGTAAGCGTTTTTCACGGGCATGCTTCTCTGTGGGTTTCTCCAGGGTATAGTCCCAGGAATGGAATTGCTGGTTCTGCAAGGAATAAGCACCTCCAGTTCTCCTAAGACTGCTAATCTGCTTTCTGAGTGGTTTTGAACCTGCATTCCCATTGGCTGTGCATGAGTTTTCTCCATCTCATTTAAAAGAAATTCTTGCTAATTTAAATACAGGCATACTTAAAATTTTTGTTAATCTGATGGGTTATAAATGGATTCTCATTGTTTTAATTTATATTTCCTGATTACAAGGTTTAGCACTGTTTCACTATTTTCATGTCAGATTTCCACTTCTGTGAATTACCCTAACTGTATCCCTTGTCCATATTTTTATCAAGTGGTTTATCGGTTTTGCATATTACAGATATCTCTTACTAGCATGAGGGCTTTTAAGCTTCATATATGATCCACTTTTTTTGTTGTTGTTGGGTAAGGGGAGTATATTTTTAAGTTTAATGGCATATGTATTGACTTCTTACCTCATGGCTTATAGATTCTTGGACTGAAAAAAAACAAAACAAATTTTAAGAAAGTATTCTCTTCCCTGAGGTAATAAATAAGAAAAGATACTTGTTTTCTTCTGAAAGTTTTAAGGTTTTGTTTTCACTTTGGTATGTGATACCTCTGAAATCGAGGTGCTGGTTTTCGTGTGTGTGTGTGAGGTGGAGCTCTAGTTCCCCTTCTTGACAACAGGAGCCAGTTGTCCTGGCACCACTTCCTGGAGAGCTCGGCCCTTCGTAGTGCTGCCAGTCAGCTCGCACGTTGCCATGCGTGCTTGGTCTCTCTCTGGGCCGCCCTGCTCTGTGGGCCTTTATCAGCACCGTATTTAACTGCTGACTGCAAGCTTTAGAGTCAGTTACGATCATGAGGAGGGTAGGGCACACGCTCTCTCCCTACGCGTGCAAGTACTTTCGCTCTCCTGCATCCGTGACTCTTCCTTAGGAATTTATGATCGAGTTTCATGTATAGTCCTATTGAAATTTCAGTTGGAATTGCACTAAAATTATGGATTCATTTGTAGAAGAATGAACATCTTTATATTAATTCCTAAACATGGTTGTGGTGTCCATCCAGGTCTATATGTCCATTCTTCCTGTGATTAATTGTTCCTGTTTTAGTTTAATTAAAAACTTGCTAGAACATTTTTTCAGGTTTATATTTTAAGTATAAAAACTGTGTTAAAACTGCACTGAAAAGGGAGAAAATGGAGAGAGGTAAGTGTATTGTAAGTAAAATCTTAACTTTTAATAGGCTAGCCTTGTAGGTCCCTTAGTTCCTGTAGAGCCTTACATTTGCATGAATACTCAGCATTTGTGTATGGGGTTCTCTTATTGCTAAAACGGCAGGAGGAGCTAACTCTTTAGAATAGGAGTTGGAAGGCCAGGGGTTGGGTCTGGCTGGGCTCCTTACATGCCCTTCATTCTTCACCTTGGCTTCTTGAGTTCTAAAATTTTTCAGGGTGATGGAGAGAGGATTAAATGAGAACATATTGAAAGTATTATTTAAGCTATACAGATGTAACAAAGATTTATTGTTCCTTTTCACTTTAGGAAAAGGAAATGAAAGAAAATAAAGCTTTATATCAGACTTCAGTTTAGAAAGTGAATAGATTCAGTTCAGTGCATTTATTAATTTATCACATTTATTGATGTGAACAGTTACAATTTTAAGGAATCTAAGAATATGAGCCAGGAAGTAGTGAAAGCTAAATTACATGTTGTATTTCCCAAGGCAATAAAATGTATGTAAGCATTTTAGAATACTGTAGAATAAGGATTGAAGTTTAGTGCTTTCTGATTTTTAAAAAAACCCAGTTAATTAGGAACAACAAAGTCAGATCTCATATTCCCCAAGCGTGAGTGTTAAGGTTCTACTCTATGTTCTCTGCTAATGATTCAAGTTATCAGTAATTTTGGTATAATATGGTGGTACCTGGAGGAACACGGCAGTCTGTGCTCTTTGTGAATAAGGTTTTAAAGAACCATGAAAGCCCAACTTCTGTACTTTATAAAAGCTTTTTTCAAGTATGTGCACATGTATTGGTTTGTGACTACCTGCTTGCGATTCAGTGTCAGAATAGAAACTCAGATTTTCCTGTGATATGAAGGTGCAGAGCACACCATCTGAAGAGATGGGCTTCTTTCTCACTCTGCCACACAAACAGGCTCGGTGGTCTTGGGCAATTCTACCATCTCGAATCCACCCCACTTTTTAAAGTGGTGAGTACTTATTTACCTCACAGAAACATTGGGAAATCATGATGTAGGTTATGATACCTTGTGTGTGACAGATGTTAGTAGATAACACGGGTGTTAATGGTAAAGTTACGCCAGATTTTTTATTTGCAGAAGCTATGGCTGTGTCTCATCGAAATGAGTTACAGCCAGAAATCTTCATGTCTTGGGCATGTTTAGTGGTTGTCGTCTTTTTTTTTACTTTTCAGATGCATTGAGCTTGCAGGAAGGGTCTGACCAGTGTCTGTCAGTATCACCTGTGGCCAGTAACCTAAAAAAAGGAAAATACAGGATAATTAACAGGGTTGGGCTGAGTTATCTTTCTCAATAGTATGATTATTATAATTTGAAGGTCTGGGTTATGATTATACCATACTCAGATAGGACATGGACTGTTTAATGGGCCAGTGCTGGGTGGGCGGGCAGCATGTAGGTGAGGTTATTTCACTCGCACCCCGTGACTGGTAGGTAGGCCTTTTATCTCACAAGGAAAGTCGTTGGAGCTCCTACCAGCACTGTCCCTACTGTGTGGCTGTGGCATAAATTAGAATCCAGCCCTGATCTTCATACACTTTTTTGGTTATTAGCAACTTGATAAAGCATTTTTTCTCTTCGTGGGGCCAAGAACTGAAAAACCAAAATTTGAGAAACATAGGATGTTGAAATGTACAAGTCCCCTGTCAGCCTACAAAAGCCTTATTCCTCTCCACCGAGTTTTAATTTGCCTCCGTGAAAGCTTGCCCCAGGCGAGACAGGGTGGTCAGTTGTGTGGCAGAGTCAGAAGAAACACATTCAATTGATTTTCATATGTGATCTTAAACGGTTTAAGTTTTTTAAAGGTAACTGATCTCTTTTCTGAGGCTGTGCTCTAGTTTACAAGCCAGTGATTTAAAAATGAATTTCTCCAAATGGAAAAAATAGTCAGTTTACTGACTAAGCATATTTTTAAACTCCAGTCACAACCACGTTATCGGTATTCAGAAATTGGGAGCGAGTGCTTGTTCTGGAAACTTCCAAAATCTCAGCCTTGGAGGCACTGAGTAAACAAGCCCAGGGTGGGAGAGTCTGACACGGGGCAGGCGTGTGTGGGTTCGTGCTGCAGCGTTAAGGCAGTTAGTTACTCTCAGTGTTTGGAGCCTTAATGGGATTTCAGAGGAGAGACTCACGGTTTGTGTGTGAGTCTTTAGACAGCAGGGCAGGTCCTAAAACATGGCAGTGCTGACTTCACATGGAGGTAGCCCCATTTTCAGACTGAGTTGATTTGACTTTGTATTCTCTAATTGTCTTGCCAATGGGTTTCAGCCCCGGCAAGTTCGCTATGGGTTCAGTGTAACCAAAGAAATGACTGTAGAACATTTCTTTGGGGTGAAAAGGTTTATTAGCCGGCTTGTTCTCCCGGCAGTAGGTCGAGCACTAGCGTCTCTGCCTCCGCCCAGAGCACCGGCTGAGCTCTCTGTGTAGCACAATAATAGCTTATTGCCTGTGGGTGTGGAAGCGGCAGCCGAGCAACAGGCCAGTTACACCATCAGGTGGTTTAAGTTCAGGGAGGATCCTGGCTGTAGGAACCCCAACTTCTCCACACTAATATAACTAGTTTTCAGTTTTTCACGTTGCTTAGCTTGCATTTGTGTGTGGTTTGTTTTTGCTTTGCTTTTTAAATTTTGTATTCTTTTAAGTAGCTGTGTAAGGAGGGAGGTTTGAACGATTCTTGAATTTTATCCTGCTGCATATTTATTATATACAGTTCCCACAGATTAAGGCGCATCTTAGGAGTGGCTGGGGTTTGTTGATTTAAAGGAGCCATTTGCCTACAGGGTAAAGCAGAAACACACACACACACACACACAC